TCTCTTGTCCCCTTCCTATAATCCTCCAGTCCTGTTTCTCTCAGCCTGCAAAAGAGAAAGGGCTCAGTGCCAACCCTTCATTCCAGGTAACTGCTCTCTGGATGGGCAATAATCATTCCCATCATTCCCTCCCTGTACTGCAGAGATGGCACAAACAATGAGAGAAGGTGCCCTATCCTCTGAGCCAAACTGGCTGGGGCCAGACCTAATGGTTTCACAGGCCCTGGCAGACTGTTCCCCAGCCCTGATCAAGACTCTGGCCCTCTAAGCTGCACCACCACAGTTTCTAAAAAAAAGGCTTGAAGAAAATACATGACAATACAAACATGAATGGTCTCGGAGACTGTTTTTTCTTCTATCTTTTTCTAATTTCCTAAGATTGAAAATGTACTCTTTTCATAATTGAAGAGGGAGAGAAAAAAAAAAACAACGCCTAAAATTTTGGACCTTTTGTGATTCTAAATGTTTAGGGATATAACAGCAGATAAATCACAAATAAACAAAATTAACCCTCAACCTTAAAAGATTAATATATAAAAATAGTTAAGTTTAACTTGCTCATATGTTTTGTTAATTAGAAAAGAAAAAGAAAAATTTTACAGAAAGAAACAAACAAAAAAAAGATAACTCTTGAAAATGAAAACTTACATGTAGTCTGCCCGGGGGCCTCTGAACCACCGAGCGCAAAATCCCAGCCATGAGTGCGGTGGCCGTCCTCTGCAGAGGCTGTGCCGGGTAGAAAACAGATCTCTGGGTCAAATATGTTTTGAAAATGAACAGATCCCCCCTCTGTCTACAAAAATGAAACAAATTAATTGTAAACTTGACTGAAGTTTAAGAGTAAAACCTTGGTTATTTTAATACACTAAAGGCAAGAATTAAATTATTGTAAATGTTTTATTTGGAGTTCAGCAAAACCATAGGTAGTAATTATAATCGAACCACATCCCATTTTTGCCAAATGAATTAGAGTCTCAGAGGATTCAACAAAATTGGAGCAATGGGAGCTACTAAAGCCCATCATTTAAAAAATCTTCTCCAACAATGAGGGCACAGAAAGAATGCTTTGTTATAGAATCACAAAAAATTAAAGAGCTGAAGGGACAGAAGGAACCCCAAATCCTAGCATTAGAACTGACAACCCTCTTATGCTAAACAGGAGGAACATGAATCCCAGAAAGTTCACCCAAGGTACTCAGCTATCCAGGAAGTATTAGAAGAGATGCTTAGTCCTGTGGCCCTCCAATCAAATAAATAATGCTAAATTATTTTCTCTACCATACTTCTCTACCATACTTCTGCCTTCCAAGTTAAACATTATATACTAACCCAACTCAATTAGCTTCACACTTAGTTAAATCTTTCTCTTATCACTTACAATTCAACACAAACCTCCTAACTGGCCTTCCTGCTTTCATTCCATTCTTCCCGTCTTTCCTCCATAGTAGCAATCACCTCATTAAAACCTAAATCAGCTCATGTCAACTCCTCTGCTCAAAACCTTCTGAAGAGCCAGGTTTGTCACTGTTGGAGAAGGGCACACATAAGAAGGGAAGGCTAGAATGATCCCTATGGTCCAATGATACAGGATTAGAGTTGGAACTCATGTTCAGCTCAATATAGGTATTAATGGATAAAGACACAATTCTATACATGGATGTAACTTTGTTAGCTCAGAGGAACTAATAGCAATGGCATCCCAGTGAAAATGAGCATGCTCAGTGCCTACAACAGTGATGGCGAACCTTTTGAGCTCGGCGTGTCAACATTTTGAAAAACCCTAACTTAACTCTGGTGCCGTGTCACATATAGAAATTTTTTGATATTTGCAACCATAGTAAAACAAAGACTTATATTTTTGATATTTATTTTATATATTTAAATGCCATTTAACAAAGAAAAATCAACCCAAAAAATGAGTTCGTGTGTCACCTCTGACACACGTGTCATATGTTTGCCATCACTGGCCTAGATCATAGTTTCTAGTAGAATTCTCTAAGGAAAGGAACCAGAGCTCCTTGGAGAAATAGTTGATACATGACTGCAGGAGGGGATATACAAAGGTGAGTGTGGGACATCTTGTAGTGCTAGAAAGGACCATTCAAAAAATCAAAATGATAAAGTATGTGAAAGGGACATAGGAGCCCACTGAAGGCGCTCCCAATGGCTAAAGCTGGAATAATATGAGCAACAAAGTAAGTAACGAAGTATTGGCTTATAATCCAAACCATAAAATAACCATGAGTTGTGGGGAAGGCCTGGGTCGGGGGGCAGGAGCAGGACAGAAGGAGTCAATGGGGAAAGAAGGGAAATATGTAATACTTTTAACAACAAAAATAAAAAAAAATAACTATGAGTCCATACTGACATAATTAAGTGAATAAATTAAATTAATGACAGAGGAAAAAAAACACCATATCTTCCTTACAGAAGAATTCCAAATAGTTTATGTAGCTATTCCCTCCTCAAAGAGGTCGCGCAAAACCACTGACCCCTGAAGTGAGGGCAGTGCTCCATGACCTGTTCCCAGAGGACAGTACAGAAAGGGGGGAAATAACACTACACTGGAGAAACATGACCAACAGGATGTCAGCTAGAAAGATTGACATCAACTGTAATAACAGTCACGTTCATAGCATGTATCCTTGGTATGACAGAATGCGACTGGCACTTCACCTCTGTGGTCTTCTTCCCATAACACCACTCTTAGGGGAGAAACATCAAACTCCAATTGAGAGGCATTGTACAAAACACCTGACTGCCCCCAAACTGTCAAGGTCGTCATAAACAGGAAGGTCTGAGAAACTGTCATAGTCCCCAGGACTTTTTTCAATTTTTGGCTCAAATCTCAATGAGGTCTACTCTGATGCCATGTAACAGGCAATCAATTAAATTTTACTCAACGAATGAAGTATAAGTTACAGACTTCAGAAGGTGTGATAGTCAACAGCT